TCATTCTGTTGCCCAGGCTGGAGTGCAGTAGCATGATCTCGGCTCACTACAACCTCCACCTCCCGGGTTCAAGTGATTCTCCTGCCTCAGCCTCCCAAGTGGCTGGGATTACAAGCACCCGCCCATCACGCCTGGCTAATTTTTGTATATTTAGTAGAGACCGGGTTTCACCATGGTGGCCAGGCTGGTCTCAAACCCCTGACCTCAAGTGATCTCCCCACCTTGGCCTCCCAAAGTGCTGGGATTACAGGCATAAGCCACCGCGCCCGGCCTGGGAGGGTGCTATTAGATGACAGAAGACTGGAATGGAGAATGAAGGCTCTAGAAGCCAAGGAATCCCAAAGATTGTGGGAAATCAGCAAAAGCCAGGAAGAGGCAAAGAACGATCCTCCCCCGGAGGCTTTTGAGGGGCGTGTTGTCAGCTCTGCTAACATCTTGAGGTTGGACTTCTGGCTTCCAGAACTGTCAGACCATAAATTCCTGTTGTTTTAAGCTACCCAGTCTGTGGTGCTTCATTATAGCAGCCCCAGGAAATAAATCTAAAAGTTCATCCCAGGAAATACCAGGCAGGGAATGGAAGGTGGTAAGTGAAGGGTGTGTAAGTGACCAGGTTAACCCTGCAGGAAACCAGAGCCTGATCCCACTGGAAAGATGCAGGGCAGAGCAAAACGCCTGATGGGGAGGGAGCTGGGGTATTTATCCACTGACTTCTCCAGGCACTGGCTGGAGGCTGCTCCTAGGGGTTGTCCATGCAGGCCAGGGGATCACAGCAGCCCCAGAGAGAGGCAGACAGTGACAGGTGATTGCAGTATAAGGCATCCCTGCCCTCAAAGAACCTCAGTCTTCTGGCCAAGGGTTTCCTGACAGAAACCTTACTGACATTTGGGCTTGGATCATTCTCTATGTGGGGCAGAGGTGGGGGATGCTGTGCATTGCAGAATGTTGAGTAGCATCCATGACCTTCACCCACTTGATACCAATAGCATCCTCCTTCCCATCCAGTTGTGGCAATCAAAAATGTCTGCAGACACTGCCAAGTGTTCCCTGGGGGCAGAAATCATCCCTGGGCAAGAAGCTGTGTTCTAGGTTCACATTAGGGCCAAATCATTGCATGGGCTGCTAACCAAAGGACGAGGGTGGGATGTAAATGCGTGGAAAGTGCTAGAAAGCTACTCTGAGTTAGTGGTTAATAGCAGGGCCAGGGAGGGGAATAAAGTAAGACCTCTCACACCTCACTCCACTTCCTCAGGCGCTGCTGGAGCTGTTATGATGAAAAATTCATGCACGTTTCTAAAAGGAACACCATTCAGGGTGGGGAATTTGATTTACACGGAGGTCACCCTGGGCCAGGATCAGTTCTAAATACTTCATGCGAATCCACCTTACTCAATCCTCATGCCTTGTGAGGTGGGACTTTGCTTCTCTTCGTTTTGCACATGTGGAAATAGGGGCACAGAGAGGCCAAGCACCTTGTTGAAGGCTGCACAGCAAGGAAGTGGAAGAATCGGGAGGAACCCAGGCAGGCTGACACCTGAGTCTCTGCTCTTAACCACTCAGTTTGTGTCCCCAGAGGTGGCTTAGCTCTAAGCTTAGAGGCTTCCAGGGCAAACACCCTTTGGACAACGATACTTATAACTGAGCCCTCTGGAAATTCACGCTTCCTGTCCCACCACTGGGGACGCCCCCAGCATCTTAATCTGAACCCCCAGACGCTTTCTCTGGTCATCCAACCCTGTGACATATCCCTTTTTTATGCTCACAATTGTTTTCAGCTCCCAATCCCCACTCCCATTCTCTCCCTGAGTTCCCTAGCCTTCAGGAGGGTTCATTTCCTGCTGGAGCTCCTCTCATATCAGCCTTGTAAAGTAAAAACCTAGAACCCATAAAAATTCCCCAGCGAGTTCTGGTCAATTGGGTCTGACTCTTTGTCCAAGCTGTTCGCAGGTGAGGGCCAAGAGAGGGCCTGAGCTCGGATCTGCCGCCTGTTCCCAGAGATGCTACACTCAGAGGAGGTTTTCATGCAAATTAGAACACCATGTCCCTTCCCCACATCCTCTTTTCTGTCAATAAATTATCATGATAACAGCAGAAATCGTACGTTGTCTATGATATGAATGACATTCTTGTGCAGTGCGTGACAGGCGCAACTGTTCATGGGGCTCCTTTTGCTGCCTACTCCCAACTAAAACGGGCCTTTGTTGATCAGGATTACAAGGATGAGTTTTTGCAAATCTCCCTCCACCCACAAGTGGGGAAATTCCTTAACCCATTTATGCTGGAGGTTGCAATTTTTTTGTGTGTGAAAAATCAGATCTTAGCGATGACCTTGAGCGGCAGGATGTAAATAACTCCCACAAAACTAGCATTCCAATAATGGAACACTAGGCATAAATGGGTTGTTAAGGAACATCCACTAGAGCCAAGAGGAAAGTTCAGCTTCTCTATGTACAGGAGGAAGCCAGGTATTACTCCCTAGGAAGGCCAACCCCTGGCCTAACCTTAAATGGTAATTTTGGCCCTTACGGCTGGTGAAGATAAGATCTCCACAGGTCAACAGAGCTGTGTGTGTGTGGAGAAGCCCCAGGGTGCTCTACGGGGTCACGACACTTGTGGCATCCTTGTGTTTGATCCTGAATCCTTGGCTCTGCCCCACTCCAGCTGCTGACACGTGACCTGCTTGGGGACTGCTTACCTGCATCGCAGGTGAGGGAAGGTGAACTGTGGTGAGGACAGAGTGGGGTTTAAAACTTGCACACCTAAATATCTATCAGAATTATAAATGCATTTAGGCTGGGTGCGGTGGCTCACACCTGTAATCCTTGCACTTTGGGAGGCCGAGGCAGGAGGATTGCTTGAGGCCAGGAGTCTGAGAGCAGCCAGGGAAACATAGTGAGACCCCATCTCTATAAATTTTTTTTTTTTTTTTTAATTAGCTAGGCATGGTGGTGTGTGCCTGTGGTCCCAGCTACTCAGGAGGCTGGGGTGGGAGGATCACCTGAGCCCAGGAGTTCAAGGCTGCAGTGACCTATGATTGCACCACTGCGCTCCAGCCTGAGTGACAGAGGGAGACCTTGTCTCTAAAAAAACAAAACAAAAATCTTTCCCCAAACTAAAATTATAAATGAATTTGGTCTTTGATCCTGCAGTCCCACTTCTGGGAATGGACACCCTCCAACCCCCTAGCGATATCTGCAAAAGTATGACGAGGTACATGCAACATTGCTCCTGGCACAGCAGCATCATGTTCGATGTCAGTCGACAGGAAGCCAGTCAAGCATTTCTCTTCGTGGCAAACAAATAAATTATGGGCAGCTACACAATAGAACGCTATGCAGCTGTGCAGAAGAATAAAGAAGGCCAGGCGTGGTGGCTCACGCCTATAATCCCAGCACTTAGGGAGGCTGAGGCGGGAGGATCGCTTGAGCCCAGGAGTTCCAGACTAGCCTGGGCAACATGGTAGAACCCTGTCTCTACAAAAATTAGCGGGGCATACTAGTGTGCACCCATGAAGAGACCGTCCATGTCCTGCAATGGAAAGATCTCTAGAACGTGTGGTTATGAGGAAAAAAAAAATCACAGAATTGAACAGCATGTATAGAACGCTATTCCTTGGGGTAAGAAAGACGGGGGAGGATATAGATTTGATTATGTTTATAATTGCATAGATAAACACTGGAAGGATATTCTGAGGAACTAAAGGGGTTGCATACTGGAGGAAGAGGAAATAGAATGCAGGGATACATCTTTTCAGAAACATCCCTAACATTTTTAAGATCTAGGGCAAGAGTACAAAAAAAAGACCATATACTACGGGGAAATATTTAAAAGGTAACTAAATAAAACATGCTTTATGCTTCTCCTTTGCAAATATACCTTCCTTTACACTTTGGAAGGTCACGGTGGAATTTAGAATCCGGATATCTGCACTGGGTCAAGGTGTGGGGAGAAGCCAGCCCTGTTCCTTTCTCTTCCTAGTCACGGCTATGTCCTGCCAGAGGGGCTCCACACACGTGTGGGCATTCCAGCTTGTACATCCAAGCTGGCCACATTTGTGCCAACAGCCACCCCTCGGATGTCCTTGGCCCTCAGGTGGGTTACTGACAGATCCATATGAGAATCACATGCAAGTTCATGGAATCTGGGCATGAACAGGAATTCTGGGATGCTGGTAACTCCCAACATGGTCTCGAAAGTGAGGCACAAGCTCTTGGTAGACACATTCCCTTGGGTCCAGGAACTTCTCATCCCACGGGGACTGGTATGGCCGGAGGAGGGCCAGGTGAACCTCAGTGCAGGGCCCCCTTGCCTATGTCCAGAGATATTACTCTACCTTTTATCTGTGTTGATGTTGGATCACATAACCTTTCCATATTCAAAAATCTAAAATTTTACCTAAACACCTGCACAATGAAAAATGATGTTGCATCTGGGGGCCCTCCAGACTTCTACGCCCTATAGTTAAGAGTTCTGCTCGTGAGTCCCTGTAATCTTCCAAAGCCTGAGCCTCAGGCCAGCTTCACGGGGGCTGTGTTATCCTTGGGCTGCCTCCCCCAGCTCAGGGTCCCTCCATTGCAGCCTTGGAGTCTCACTGGTCCCAGGAGGTCACCTCCCTGAGACCCTGGTTGTCCACACACACCGTCCCAGCATCACTTACATTGTAGAGGAGATCAGTCCACCCTTCCATGGTTATGCACTGGAAAACAGTCAGCACTGCAAACAGGATGTTGTCGAACTGAGTGATCCCGTTGTTGGGCCCTTCCCAGTAGGGCTGACATTTGGTCCCATTGGGGCAGGTGCGGGCGGGCTCTTCTGTCCCACATGGAGCCGGAGACTCACCCTGAATGTCATCTACAAAAGGGAAGGGGAGAAAAGTCAGGGGAAGGAGCAGGGAAAACCAGCTCTGAGAAATAGGGACCCAAGTGACTCCACAATGTTGCTGGAACAAATAACTATTGGGACAAACGTGATCAGTCTTCAAAGAAATCAATGTTTGGCTTTGTGGGTCTATTAATTGTTTTCTATTGATTAATTTCCTGTCTGAGTTTTACTACTCTTCTCTTTCTGTTTTCCATGACTTTTTGTTTTGTTTTGTTTTGTTTTGCTATTCTTTTCCTAAACTTTTGAGATGGATGAATTAACTGCCTTTAAGGCTATAAATTGCCTTTAAGTGTGGCTTTACCTGCATCTCAAAAATTTGTCATGCATTATCATTATTGTTCAAGTAAAATATTTTCCAATTTCCATTCGTATTTCTTTTTTGACCCACAGGTAATTTAGATGTATTTGTTTTTTAAAAAAACTTATTAGATATATATACCTAATATATATATATATATATGAAGACAGAGTGGGAGAGGGAGGGAGAGAGAGAGAAGGAGAGGCAGGGGGGAGGGAGAGAGAGAGAGAGATAATAGTATAGAACAGTATAATGATTCACCATCTACCTATCACCAATTTAGACACTTACCTACTTACTTTTGGCCAGTCTTTTTACATCTATATCCCCTCCAAACACTTTGCCTTGCCACTAGAACTTTTTTTTTTTTGAAATGGAGTCTCATTCTGTCATCCAGGCTGGAGTGCAATGGCGCGATCTCGGCTCACTGCAATCTCCGACTTCTAGGTTCAAGGGATTCTCCTGCCTCAGCCTCCCAAGAGGCTGGGATTACAGGTGCCTCCCACCACAACCGGTTAATTTTTGTATTTTTAGTAGAGACAGAATTTCACCATGTTGGCCAGGCTGGTTTCAAACTCCTGACCTCAAGTGATCTGCCCGCCTCGGCCTCCCAAAGTGCTGGGATTACAGGCATGAGGCACTGTGCTCAGCCTAGAATATTTTTAAAGCAAAGCTCAGACATCATATCATTTCATCTGTAAATGAGAGGCGTGTCTCTTAATCTGCAAACACTTTTAGAGTTCTCTTTTTGTTACTGATTTCCAGCTTCATTGCATTATGGTCAGAAAATATGTTTTGTATTTTTTCAGCTTTTTGACCTCCATTGAGACAAACGTTATGGTCCATAATATAGTCAGTTTTTGTAAATGTGCCGTGTGCATAGTGCAGCTGGTAAGTGCAGCCTTCTTCCGACATCCATTAGGACAAATTTGTCAAGCGTGTTGTGTTATTCTCCTATAAGCCTTGCCGACTTTTTTCTTCTTGGGATGTACTGGGCTCAGGGAGCTGTTCTGGGGGTGAGGGACACCAGTACACACAGTTCCTACCCTTGCCTAAGGGTAAGGAACAGGAGCTGAGCTTTCTCCCCAAATAGCAGGAGGCAGGCTGTGAAAATACCACAAGGAGAGAGAAACGTGCCAATAGACACCCCTTTTGCTGGAAACCAAAGACAGCTTCCTGGGGAGGTGGCAGCCGGGCTGAACGCTAAAGGTCAGTCCAAATCTTAAGGTATTGATGAGGTAAGGGAGGCAGGAAAACTCACATCCTGGGAGTGTCCTCATTTTACCAGCGCAGCGGGTCTCAGAGGACCTTATTCTGTGAGTGATGCTCTTGAAGGTTTTCAAAGACGGCCGTGGCATTGTCGGACAAGAAAACAAACAGCTGAGTGTGTGTAAACTCAAGCTTCCTACTCAACAAAAATCTCTCTCAATGTATGTGCTATAGACTTTGCAGCACCAATTCTCTGCTCCCTTGACTGAGTACACAGCAGAGGGAAATAAACCGATGCTGAATGAATGAATCTTGTTGGCGTTTCAAGCTGTGGCTAAATAGAAACTCCAAGTCTAGCCTCACCACGGACTTAAGTTGTTGGAAACGCCTTCCTCACTTAGGCTGGACTCGGTACATGAACTATTATTCGATAAATACAGGTGGGAAGGCAAAAATCTTTGAAACATAAGGCTCAGGGCAGAGAATAAAATAAATCCATGGGCTCCTATAATAAATGAGAACTATCGTTTGGGATGGCACCTGTGCCTGGAATCTTCTCTGTCTCCACCCCATGTCCAAGTCTGGCTCAATTCCCACCCTCCATGTAGCCTCTTCGTGTAGCCCAGTTAACACGGCCCCAGCCCCTCCCTCCCTCCCTCCCTCCCTCCGTCTCTTCCCTCCTTCCTTCCTTCCTCTCTCTCTCTCTCTCTCTCTTTTTTTTTTTTTTTTGAGACAGGGTCTCACTTGTCACCCAGGCTGGAGTGCAGGCACCATCATAGCTTACTGCAGCCTCACAGCCTCCAATTCCTGGGCTCAAGTGATCCTTCTTCCTCAGCTTCCTGAGTAGCTGGGACTATAGGCATGTACCACCATGCATGGCTAATTTTTAAATTTTTTTTTTTTTTTTGAGATGAAGTCTCACTCTGTTGCCCAAGCTAGAGTGCAGTGGCGTGATCTCAGCTCACTGTAACCTCCACCTCCCAGGTTCCAGTGATTCTCCTGCCTCAGTCTCCCAAGTATCTGGGACTATAGGCACATGCCACCATGCCTGGCTAATTTTTTTTGTATTTTTAGTAGAGACGGGGTTTCACTATGTTCGCCAGGCTGGTCTTGAACTCCTGGCCTTGTGATCCACCTGCCTTGGCCTCCCAAAGTGTTGGGATTACAGGCGTGAGCCACAGCACCCGGCCGATTTTTGATTTTTATTTTAGTAGAGACAGGGTCTTGCTATGTTCCCTAGGCTGGTCTCAAACTAACGGCCTCAAGGGATACTCCCACCTCAGCCTCTCAAAGTGCTGGGATTACAGGTGTGAGTCACTGCACCTGGCCCCTTTCAGGCATACAATAGCTACTGAATTTTCATATTTAGGGGGGCGTGGGTATAATCACACATTAGCCTGCACTGTTAAAAATGGCTGCAAATGAGGGGTCTTGTTTCTTCTAACTATTTTGGAAGCTCTTAGAAAGCAGGAAGACTTCCACTTTATCTTTGCTTCCTTCTAAGCGATTGGCACGGTGCTGGGCGCACAGGAACTGGGCTCCCGACACTGAGGAATGCTACTGAAAACGGGTCTATCTTTAGCAGCTTTGCGATCCCCCTCAACCCCCCAACCACCGACATGAAACACTCTGAGCGTTGCTTCTAGAAAAACAACCGTCCAGAGTGTCTGAGGAATTCGGTTATAAATACATTTTAAAATTAACCCACTGCCTGGGTGTCTGTATATATCTGTCTCTTACTCACACGTCTTATATTTTTAATCGTGAGCTAGCTTTTCAGTCTTTCTCCTAAATCGAGGCTTCCTCCCCTCTGGTGGCACCACCCACATCTGTCCCCTCAAAACCCCACTCGGACCCAAGTCAACCCCGTGGCCTCTTCTCCTTTAACTAGTCTAGGGTAGAAAAAAATAAAATAAAACCTCACGGAAACCTAGGATCCAGGAGTCCTGGTTTCTCTGCTCAAGGCTGATTTTTCCAAGAGGCCCTACCCCGTATTCACATTCTCTCTCTCTCTCTCTCTCTGTGTGTGTGTCTCTCTCTCTCTCTTTCTCTCTTGCATTTCCGCCTGGGTGACGAGGCCAGGAGCAGAAATAGCTCTGCCTCAATTAACACCTTCTTCATCGGGGAAAGAAATAATTAGGACATTCCATATTGAGCAAACTTCACAAGCCCAGGAGAGAAGGAGACAGGAGGAGCAAGAGAAAAAGAGGAAAAAAAAAACAAAAAAAAAAAAACCCCACAAAAAACCAAAACCTCCAACCACTGCAAATAAACCTTCCCCAGTGGGTTTTCCCTCCCCCTGGGGAGGAGTGGGGAAGGAGGGCTCAGGGGCTGCCTCTGCGAATCCACTTGGGGGTCACTGGATGGAGAAGGTGGGTGGAAATCGACTCCCAGACAGAATCTTCTGTGGCTGCCTTTCCCAAATAAGGGGCCTGAAACCTCTTTCTGTGCCCACCTGGGTTCCCCTTGGGGCTTCTTAATTCATTCTATCCACTCCTTCCATTCTCAGCTCCCTTGACCCAAATCATCAGAACCAGCCTTGCCATTCAGTCTGTCTGCACCCAGACGGCCAGTGGTCTAAATATTGAAATACTGAAGGCATCCCTTCCTACTTGGTTCCATTTCATTCTGGAGCTTTACAGAGCAAGCAGCTAGAGTTTGGACAGGCAAAGATTTAACTGAAAACATATCCAAGGGCTATTTGGTTCCTGAGTGTGGATCATGGCGGACACACGGCTTCCACACTGCTGGTTCAGAGCTGAGCCCTGGGAGTGTGTCTCTGGGCCGCCTGGCTTTTCCCCTGCTCATCCCACCCCTGGACCCAGCCACTGAAGGGTTAACGTGGGCATAGTCAGGGAGGGGCTGCTGAGTGCTAGGTTCCGACTGGTTGGTGCCAGGACTCCCAACTGGGATATCTCTGATACATCCTGGGGTTTGGGGGAGACCAGGAGGACTCATCTAGTACTCTCACCTTCTGTAAGGTACCACTCACAATGCATTCAGGCAATAACCCTTTTCTGGCCCAACTCTTCCCACTTCTTGCTTGCTTTAGAAGTCAGGACTGGCTGAGGTCTGAAAGCACCCAGAATACCTGTTCCACTTAGTCAGATGTGCCAGGCATTAATTCCCACTCTAGGAGCAGTCCTCATCAATGTCAGAAAGAAGCCAGTGTATAAATACCCCAGCTCCCTTGCCCCTTGGCTGGGACGGCTCTGAGGTGTGTGTTCTTTACTTATTTATTTATTTATTTATTTATGATGGAGTCTTGCTGTTTCGCCAGGCTAGAGTGCAGTAGTGCAATCTCGACTCACTGCAACCTCTGCCTCCTGGGTTCAAGCGATTCTCCTGCCTCAGCCTCCCTAGTGACTGGGACTACAGGTGCCCGCCACCACACCCAGCTAATTTTTGTATTTTTAGTAGAGATGGGGTTTCACCATGTTGGCCAGGATGGTCTCCGACTCCTGACCTCAGATGATCTGCCCACCTCGGCCTCCCGAAGTGCTGGGATTACAGGCGTGAGCCACCGCACCCAGTTGAGTTGTGTGTTCTTTGCTCTCTCCCGGAGGTGCCTGGGGGATCCAGTCCCAGTTGTAACTGATAACCCACTTGCTAGCACACTCTTTCACAGATCCCTTCCTTTCTCTGTCTCACTTCCTCTTTCTCCTGATGGTGCTTCCTGGGATCATTCCCAGATAAACTCTTTCTCTGCTGGGTCACCTTCTATGGAACCCCAACCCTTTCAACAGTGAAGATCTCAGAGGCTATTGAACCTGCTGCCTCTCCTGCAGCGCTCTCTGAAGGAGACGATCCTCCCAGCTGCCAGGAGAAAGAAGCACACCCCTGCCCAACCCTCCCAAGAGCTTGTCCCTGAAGGAGAAAACTGGAAAGACACATCATGCTCCGCGGACCTACCTGTCCCCTCTTCAAAGCAGGTGGTATGAAATTTTCCCATATAAAATTCTAACCCTATGATTGCAAAAATAAGGATTGCAAAAAATAGGAGGAGGCCGATCTGCAGCAAAGGGATCATCGCCTTCATGATCGACTTCAGGACGACTTGTAAACCTGGGGGGACACAGAGAGAGGCCCCATAAGCCCACGAGCAAGCACCCCCAAACCCTGCCACCAAGACGCCAAGGTCTCTCCCAAACAAAGCAGGTGTGTTCCCAAGGGAACCTCAAGCACACGGGAGCCTGGGGATTGGGCAATGGTAAAGGAAGCACCGCATGGAGGCTGGTCCTTATCATAGGAACAACCCTTCCTAGGTTTTTTTTCTCTTTCTTTGAGACAGGGTCTTGCTCTGCTGCCCAGGCTGGAGTGCAGTGGCCCAATCATAGCTCCCTGCAGCCTTAACTTCCTGGGCTCAGGCGATCCTCCTGCCTCAGTCCTCGGAATAGCTAGGACTACAGGTGTGCACCACCATGCCTGGCTAAGTTTTACAACTTGTTTGTAGAGATAGGGTCTTGCTATGTTGCCCAGGCTGGCCTGAAACCCCTGGCCTCCAAGCGCTCAAACCCCTCCGCCTCCTAAAGTGCTAGGATTATAGGGGTGAGCCACCATACCTGGCCTCTATTATTATTATTTTTCACTTTTTATATTTTTTTTTTTTTGAGATGGAGTCTCGTTCTGTCACTCAGGCTGGAATGCAGTGGTGCCATCTCGGCTCACTGCAAGCTCCGCCTCCCAGGTTCATGCCATTCTCCTGCCTCAGCCTCCCAAGTAACTGGGACTACAGGCGCCTGCCACCATGCCCAGCTAATTTTTCATATTTTTAGTGGAGACAGGGTTTCACCGTGTTAGGCAGGATAGTCTCGATCTCCTGACCTCGTGATCCGCCTGCCTCGGTCTCCCAAAGTGCTGGGATTACAGGCGTGAGCCACCGCGCCTGGCCTTATTATTTTTTAAAAAGCACTTTTAACTTTAAAGTATTTATTCATGTATTTTAATTAGCCAGGCATGATGGTGCATGCCTGTAGTCCTAGCTACTCTGGGGACTGAGGCAGGAGGATCACTTGAGCCCGGGAGGTTAAGGCTGCAGGGAGCTATGACTGTGCCACTGCACTCCAGCCTGGGCAGCAGAGCAAGACGCTGTCTCAAAGAAACATATGTATGTATTTTATAGAGACAGGGTCTCACTATGTTATTCAGGCAGGTCTCGAACTCCTGACCTCAAGCGATATTCCCGCCTCTGCCTCCCAAAGTTCTGGGATTACAGGCACGAGCCACCGAGCCCAGCCAACTTTAAAGTATTTAATAAAAGTAATTGACAAGCTGTTCCATTTGATGATCTTTTGGGCAAGAAAGGGGTGGGAATCCATTACTTTCGGAGCCGTATTCCTGAGTGTTGGGCAACTTGCACCCAGAAGAGGGAGCCATTTTCTTCTTCTTATTTTTTTTTTTTTGCTGCCAACAGGGGGCGTCTTTTCCTAATTCATAAAAGGGCGCCCATATAGGCTGGTTGCTGCTCTGGGTAGGGAAAGCGGTTGGCGGTCTCAATTTCAACCCCAAGGAACCAGATTCAACACTATTTCACTGGCTTCTAGCGACAAACCCCTGAGGTGGCCATATATGTAAAGTCGCTCCCATTTTACAGAAGTGGGAACCAAGGCCGACAGAGATGCTATGATTCACCCAAGAGAATGCATGAGAAATGGCAGAACTAGGCAGGGTGCGACGACTCACGCCTGTAATCCCAGTACTTTGGGAAGCCGAGGCCAGCAGATCACCTGAGTTCAGGAGTTCAAGACCAGCCTGGCTAACATGGTGAAACCCCATCTCTACTAAAAATACAAAAAAGTATCTGGGCACGGTGGCCAGCGCCTGTAATCCCAGCTACTTGGGAGGCTAAGGCAGGAGAATCGCTTGAACTTGGGAGGCAGAGGTAGAAGTAGCCAAGATCGTGCCACTGCACTCCAGCCTGAGTCACAGAGTGAGACTCTGTCTCAAAAACAAAAAACAAA